TGGGTAGAAAAAATATCCAGTTTAAAAGTGCTTCAAGAAATAACAAAAGCAGAGAAAATTTGTTAATAATACAACTACATTTCAGAAGATGAATATATTTAAAAAAGAAAACGAGCTTTTAGGTCACGAAACACTCCTTCACTCTGTGGAACGCAGCTGAAGCAATGTTAATTACTTGCTTTCTACTCAGAATACTTCAATTTATTTTTATGGTATTACATTATTGTGGTATCTGAACTGAATAAATAATAGAATATTAGTTCCCCATAGCAAATTAAGAAAGAAATCAGTATAAGAGATAAGAGCAGTTATACAATCCATTCATGAATCATATTTATTAGCTTCTCAGGAGGGACTTCTATTTAAAAATCAATACTTTCTTCCCAATATGCACAATTACCTAGAAATTAGGTATATTGTGCATGGAAGGTTTTTCATAGGAAGTTTTGCTATAATGTAGTAGTTAAGGACATAACTTTGAAACCTGACTAACCTGTATTCTATTTGGGAAGACTTTTATCTCTTCTGTTCTGAATGACAGGCTTGCTGGATAGAGGATTCTTGGCTGCATATTTTTTCTGTTCATCACATTGAAGATTTCCTACCATTCAAATCAGGCCTGCCAAGTTTCAGTAGATAGGTCTGTAACCACACTGATAGGTAACACTTTGTATGTTAGGGCCCTTTTATCCCTAGCTGTTTTCAGAATTCTTTGTCCTTATATTTTGCCAGTTTCACTGTGATATGTCATGCAGAAGATCGATTCAAGTTATGTCTGAGGGGAGTTCTCTGTGCCTCTTGGATTTCAACATCTGTTTCCTTCCACAGATTGGGGAAGTTCTCAGCTATAATTTGTTCAAGGACTCCTTCAGCGCCTTTCCCTCTCTCTACCTCTTCTGGAATTCCTATGATATGGATATTGCTCCGTTTGATTGTATTGCTCAGCTCTCGAACTCTCCTTTTGGGTTCCTGGATCATTTTATCTCTCTTTTTCTCGGTTTCCTCTTTTTCTATAATTGTGTCTTCTAATTCACCTATTCTCTGCCTCTTCGATCTGTGCATTGGACATCTCCATTTTATTATGCATCTCATTTATAGCATTTTTTAATTTATCACAGCTATATTTAAGCTCCATAGTCTTTGTAGCAATAGTTTCTCTGATGTCTTCCATGTCTTTGTCAAGCCCAGCTATTAATTTTATGACTATTGCTCTAAATTCTTGTTCAGTGATGTTGCTTATATCTGTTTTGAGCAGTTCTTTAGCTGTCATTTCTTCCTGGAATTTCTTTAGAGGAGAGTTCTTCTATTTAATCATTTTGACTAGCTTTCTGTCTCTTGTTAGTTTTAAAAGCTTGTTATGCACTCTGCACCTGCGAATACTGCTGTATTAAAGAAGGCTCTTTGACTGTCCAGGGCCTGTCCTTTCAGGAAATGTTCTTTGAATGGTGTCTCTTGGTCTCTCTTGTTGAGACTTTGGTTGTTTTATTTCCCTACTCATAGTGGTATTCAGGACTCTCCACCATGTGTACTTTGGTTTGTTTCTTGAGGTAGCCCTGGCAAGAAAACAGACAGACAAACACACAGGAAAAAAGGCACACAAATGCACAGACAAATCTAATAAACACTCAAACCGAAAGGGAAAAAGAAAAAAAAAAAAAAAAGAAGGGGAAGAAAAAGGAGGAAGGAGGAAAAACAAATAACAAAAATAAAAATAAAGTAAAAAATGAAAAAGAAGAAAAGAAAAGAAAAAACCAAAAGACAAAAACAGTCTAAAAGCATAAAACCAGAATTCCCAGCTACAAATAAAGAGCCAGGTGTAAGCAGTGCTGATGGAAGAGCATAAACAAAGAGAGAAAAGACAGGGTGGGGAGGAAGCGAAATTGGAAATGACCTGGCAGAGAGACTAAGAGGCTTAATTCAGAGAGAAAGAGGAGAAATGGTAAGGGACGAGGAGAAAAAAATGAAGAAAGTGTTACTCAGAGAAACTATATAGTCTGATTACTCGAGAGAGAGAGAGGAAGGTAGCAGTGGAGGTGTAGAGTATACATCTAGAGAATGGATTAAATGTGACTGTTTAAGCAAACCAGTGACCAGAGTGCCCAGTCCAGCAGAGTGGAGGGATACGAATGACACAAGGGAAAATATATCTGAATAGAAAGAATTGATCTAGAATTAATTACGGCAGTGCATCCATGTTGGTCTTGCCCCTGGCTCAGGTAAAGAAAAAAAAGCAGCTCTCTAGTGGGGATGGGCGTGGTTTGATGTAGTCGGGTCTTAGCCTCCACTGCATCCTGCAGGTCACGCCCTGAGGTTCCACCCTGGTGGTTGTTGGGAGAAAAATGGCGGTGTCCCAGTCCTCTCTCGAACCAAGCGTTGCAACTCACTCTTTTGGGTCTGATCTCCGTGTGCCATGGGCGTAGCCAAGGTGGGCCATGCTCTATGTCCCAAGCTACCTTCGTTTCCAGATCTTAATCAGCAGGCCCCATTGAAATATAAACCCACAGGTGAGTCCCTGTGAGAGGCAGTTTTAAGCCTCTCGCCTCCCCACTGGGAATGGAGCTGCATCAGAAGAGCGGTGGAGTGGCTTCAGGTGCGCCACTTCCCCTCCAGGTCGAGTAGGGGAGGAGAGGATTGGTTTCTCCCGGCCCGGCTTGCCTGGGACCAGTGCGTCCCACTCAAGGTCAGCTGCACAGCTGGAAACCAGATCCCTCTGTGTCTCAAGGTGAGGTTTTTCTCTTCCCCAGGGACAGGGACAGTTCCCTGAGCAGTTTTAGCCGCTCTTTCTTTTCCCTTCGACTTACCATGGCTCCCCGCAAAGGGGGCTCCCTCCATGTCTCCAGTCCCCTCTTTTTATCTTCCCCAGTTGCACTCATGCTATAAGGTTTTCTCAGTGGACGCTGTCTCCTTTTCCTCCCAAACTCCTGGATTCTGTAAGGGTTCCTATGGCTTCAGGCCTTCTCTGTTTGAGAGATGGGGGTGACTGAAATGTACAGAGTTCCCTACTTCTCCGCCATATTGCCTTTCCCGACTAACCTGTATTCTAATCCCATAACTTGCTTGCTATAAAATCTTAGGCAATTATCTTTTTATACTCACATAAGGAATACAGCATTTTATTCAGGTGTTTTGGGAATTGAATAAGTTACAAAAGTGCTTATCATAGAAGCTTGCACATGATAATTGTTAAATAATTGACATTAACATCATCACCACCACCACCACCATCATCATCACCGACCGTGAATTAGATGTTGTTATTACTGGGTCACATTCAAGGAAACTGGGGGTCTGAGAGGTTAGTTAAAGGGTCAAATTTCATATAGATACAAGGAGCAAACTCTAGAATTGTCTAATCTTCTATACCCTTGTAGAGCCAGATTATTAGTTTATAATTTGAATATGCATCTAAAACTGTCAGTAGAACTTTTGAGTAATATATGCAAAAATCAAATACATACAAGTAAGTACAGTATTATTTTCTGAGGGAAAAAATGTGACCATGTTATCTGAAACTTTGTTTGGAGAAACCTATAATTTTTATTTACCAGTCTAATCAAGGCTGAAATATTAAGTTTCAGCTTCCTTAAGTCTTTTTAAATTTTTAAAAATGTTTTATTTATTTTTGAGAGAGAGATAGAGATAGTGTGAGCAGGGAAGGGGCAGAGTGAGAGGGAGACAAAATCTAAAGCAGGCTCCAAGCTCTGAACTGTCAGCACAGAGCCTGACGTGGGGCTCAAACCCATGAACCGTGAGATCATGACCTATGCCAAAATTGGATGCTTAACCAACTGAGCCACCCAGGTGCCCCTTAGCTTCCTTAAGTCTTAACTATCAGCTTCCTTATTTAAATAACTGGGTACCAGAGAGAAAAGAGAATACCCTCCATCCAATGATGGATGACTACCCCAAACTGAAGCTTCTCTAAGTGCCTGAATGCACCAGTGCACCTTTTGTTGTGTCATGGTTCATTCATTTTAACTCATTCACTATAAATATATATTAAATGCCTATTAAAAGCAGGGAAATGTATAAAGTCCTGGGCACGCAAAGACTCTATCTTTATGTTGAAGGGGCTCACTTTCCAAAATGGCAAGGCAATATTGAATCAAAACTCACAGCAGACTTAGTAGGTCTCTGATAGAGGTAAACAGTGTGTTCAACTTCCTTCTTGAAGTAAATGTCTGCAGAATTTCTGTGAATGATCTGAACAAAAATCTATTGTGCTTGAAGGTACAGAATGAGAAACAAAATAGTGTTTTCAGAGAAGGGCAAAAGTTAAAAACTGAGGGTGAGCTATACACCAGATATGTGAAAGTAAGGTAAAAATTGTCATAAAAGATGTTCTTAAATCTCACATCAGGTAGACTTCATATTTAAGGCCAAAGAGAAAAAAATAGAAATCAAGGATGGGAGTGACATGTTTAGATTTACATTTTGAGAAGTCATTATGTCTATAGCTTACAGGATGGTAAGCTGATACAACTTTTCAGCAATGCATGCAACTCTTCACTCATTCATTCAAGCATATGCTTATTCTTCAAATATAAGGTTTGCTTTCTTACTACATGTTGAACAATGTAGCACATGATGGAAGTAAGTAAAGAACAAAACAAGCATTCATTCTCTTTCTGCCCACAACCCTCTGTCACCCTTTTCCTCTTTCTCACAAAGCTTATTAAGAAGTGTCAGAGACTGATGATAAAGATTGGATAGCAAACAAAATAATCTAGTAGATAAATATAGTAAATCATATAAGAAATGATGAGAGTTTGAAATAAATCTCTAGCGGTAGAGGTCTAAAATTATGAATAAATATAAGCATTTAGAAGGTATAATTTATGGGACATGGAGGCAGATTGGAAGTAAGAAACAGAAGAGGAAAAAGCTTAAAAGAACTGTAAGGTATCAGTACTGACTTTTTGATGAAATCAAGCCACTGGTCTGCTGTGATTCGCAGGATTAGAATCATTAATTTATGCTATCTGCCATTGCTTCTATAGGTACATTTAGAAAGAAAGTGGATGTGTTTGAGTTTCTTGTACCAACGCTTATTGGCTCACACTCACCGAAGCTATAATGGACCCAGCACACAGCATGCCAGTCTGAGACCACTACCACCCCTGGCCTGAGGTGAGATAATCAGATTATTAGGTCTGGATCAAATCTGTTGGTCAGAGGGAGTGGCGAAAGTGGGAATTACAGAACATTTAAGAACATCCTGTAGGTGACGAAAGGATGTAACAGTGGAAGCCCAGAGCATGATCTGTGTACGCAGCCATGCCTACAGGTGTGGGTTTATATGGAAGAGATTTCTTTTTAAATCCTAGAAGCCAAGAGTCTTCAAATCATCCCAGATGCTCATATATGTGAATAAATATGTAAGATGTCAATAGCAAACTCTTCAATGTGGCCCCTTTGTGCAGTGTACATGCCCATACTTTAGTGGTAACCTTAGAACCAGAAATAACTCACAACTTTCTAATTCTTTTTATAATTTAGTCTGTAAACCTTTTTCTTAAGAAAATCTTTCTTGCTCAGCCAAAACCAAAATATTTGACAAAATCAAAATTTGGACAAATCTTCCATCCTTTTAATAACTCTGTGGTTTTGAAATTAGCTGCTTTCTCCAAAGCCAAGAAAATCAGAGATTTCTTTTCCATTCCTATTCACTTCCTCTTCTCCCTGACACTACCTTAGGTAAAGTTCACAGTTATAACATCTGTATAGATACAGAAGAGAGAGAGGAGGAATGAAAATGTGTTTGCATTCTTGTTTGGGTCAGTAATCCCAGTGTTTTTTTTTTTTTTAATATTTTTATTTATTTCTAGGAGAGAGAGAGACAGCGTGAGCAGGAATCCCACTTTGAATGGTACACACTGCTCTAGAATAATATAGTTTTCTCCTCTTACTTTACTAACCCCCTTTTTTTTCATCCACTTCTGTCTTTTCAAAGCCTTATATAGCAGGCCGCCATTAGGGAGGCAAGGGGGAATACCGCTACATTGGTATCCCACATATTGTGGAATTCGTTCACCTTAACCTTTCTCTCTCAAGAAGATCAGATGGCCATCTGCCTCTCAATTCTTTGTCATGTTGACATGTGGGAGGACAAGTTGCTATGGTAGCATCAGGACAGCATGTTCAAAGTTTGGCCACCATTTCTGAATGGTTTGGAAAGTCCTTAAAAGAAAAAAAAAAAATGATGATAGAAAGAAATGTCTAATAAGAGTAACATAGGACAGTACCCAATTTTATAAACTTGAGAAATAGAAGAATCTTTCTGGAGGGACAAATGGACTTTATAGCCCAAATGAGGGATAGATAGATGCAGAGATCATATATGCAAATATAAACTGGAAGTATAACTTTTATAGATTCATTCTAACTCTGATAATTTACACCCTCAAGGTAAGTTGCAATGAATATGAGAACTAATGTCCTAAATAGAATTTTGGACATAACTAATCTACACTTGCCATAAAAATGTTTTCTCTATTCAGGTTCAGTGCATCACTTTTGTAACCTGTAATATGTGGTCATTGATAGCCAAACTCCATAAAGCAAGGTGACCAAATAGTAATAAAGTGAGAACACCAGACAAAGTCTACAGGAGGTATTATTTCCATAAGGCATCCCTCGCTTTATTCCAGACCTGATGAACGTTTCAGGAAAGCCAGGGTTGCTTGAGTCACAGTAATTAAGTTAATTAACAAAAGTTAATGCAGCCTTTGAAGCATATGAAAATAATATATCAACTCAGAACATTTTGCTTCACTCTGGAAGCAGAAAGAGAGCACAAAAGTAAAACAATTATTGCATAGCTGGTAGGTAAATACCTCTTTGCTAACTTATCTACCTTGTGCCACTCTTTAAAGCGAACGTAACTCCAAATAAAGCTTGCATTTATCTGCTTTTCTTCAAAGTGTAAGAATAATTGTCTAAAAATATTTCTGAATCATTTTAATTCATAAAACTTCTTTTAGGAGTTCCTGTAATTCCGTATGGGTATGTGTTCATTTAACACTCATGTAGAGGGAATCTATATATTCCACAATGCATTAAGATTAGGTTAAGGAGTGTACACATGTGGATTCATTCAGTAAGCATTTCTTTCATGTGTACTAATAAATGTTTGCCAACACCAAAGAACGTGTGGACTAAAGGAGAGATAGTCACTTAATGCAAGTTAATAATATAAAATAAAATTTAAGAAACATAATAAGGCATTTATAAGTTCAGAAAAGGAGAGACACTGAGCAGAAGAGGGCAATTGAGAAAGCTTGGTTCTAATATTTCTATATATTTAGAAATATATTCTAAATTTGAACCATATTAAGTATAAGGGGTTATTCCAGGTAACATTGATAATAAAAAATATACCAGTAGCCAAGTTTTGTACAGGATATGATCAATGTTAATGAACAAGAATGCAATTAATGTGTGATAAATGCCCAATAAGTACAAGGGAAACAAGTTCTACAAACATTTTGAAGAAGCAAGTCGCCTGTTATAATGATGGAAGTTTAATGTTTTTTAAATGCGTATTTATTATTTTTGAAAGAGAGAAATAGAGACAGAGTGCAAGTGGGGGAGGGGCAGAACGAGGGAGACACAGAATCCCCAGCAGACTCCAGGCTCTGAACTGTCAGCACAGAGACCAATGTGGGGCTCGAACTCACGGACTGTGAAATCATGACCTGAGCCGAAGTCGGACGGTCAACTGACTGAGCCACCCAGGCACCCCTATAATAATGGAAGTTTTTATGTAGGAGGTAAGGTTTGGATCAAGCTCTTAATAATGGCTATAATTTGATAGAAATGGAGCATTTTAGTTAGAACTATTTTCGGCAGAATTCTGTTTATTTCAATGAAAGGTTTCTAAAGTTAGCACTTGACTTGGAGAAGCTACCAGAGTCTAGGGCGTAGGATTGGTTCCACCTGCTCAGAAATTTGATTTTGTCAGCAGTCCAAGAGTGGGTCAATTGCTGAGGTTGAGACTCACATTAATCAAGTTCACAGAGCCTGAAGTATAAATGAGAATATCAATTTATTAATTTACAACACAAGCGAAAGTACTTGGGAAGCAAACTTATAAGAAGTTTGTCTGGTGAACAACAAACCACCGCAAGAATGTAAAAGGATTTTTCTGTAAATATTCATCGGGTTATGTTAATCACTTAACTCTGCCTTCAGAAAAATTCCTGACAAAACTTACTGAATCTTTTTTGGTCTGCAGGTCAATCACTCGGCAGGGGAACGGGGAGGAGAGTGCTTATGCAATCATATGGATAGGCCATATTTTTGTCTTACTAGGTCCTACTGAAACATATTCTTTACTGGGGAGGGAATGTGTCTAATTTTGTTCCAAATTTGATATTGCTAGTAAATCCAGTTAGAAGTGTAAAATATTACAGTGTTTAGTTCACCACAAGGTAGTCTTTATTTAAAAGTAACATATGGTCATTATTGAAGATTGCAGAAAATCTTGAAGTGTTCAAAATAAAAAAAATGAAAATTTCCTTTCTCTATTCATGGCTTCCTTCATTTCTTTCCTCAACTGTACATATTGTTAGCAAGTTGGGGTGTATTTTTCCAGCACATATTTGCATGCATATGCAAATAAAAAAAGCATGTGCATATGCTGTTTTTTAATGTAATCAAATGACACGTACTGATCCCCAACTTGCTTTACACTTAATATAATTATGCATCGGGCGCCTAGGTAGCTCAGTCAGTTAAGCATCTCACTTCACCTCAGGTCATGATCTCATAGTTTGTGAGTTCGAACCCCACATCTGGCTCACTGCTATTAGTGTGGAGCCTGCTTCAAGTCCTCTGGATTATATATAATTTTCTTATAACTCACAGCTATAACTCATTCTTCATTAATAGCTCCATAGTATTGCACTGGAAGTATGTAGCTCATCTATGCGCCCAATTCAATACCCTTTTTATTTATTTAAGGAGCACTTGTGTGAGTAAATTGTATCACAGACTAATTTCCAAATGATGTATATATTTTATATTTTGAAATTTTGCACTTTACCTACAAAAATTGGTATAAAACATCTGTAAACTTCTGGCAAAGGGGGATGATAGCACAGATTTCCTCATGCTTTAAATAACATGGAATTTTATGTTTACAAAATTTGTCAGGTTATTTGGCAAAAAAACAGCTACATTTTGTTTTAATTGGCATATTTTAATTAAGTGAGGTGAGCTTTTATGTATATTATTAGTCATTTATATAAGCGTGTGTAAGACAGAGAGAGAGAACTGATTCTTCAGATCGTTTGACCATTTTATGTGGTTGTGTTTTTATTTATTTATTTTTTTTTTTTGAGATGTATCCGTTATTTAATTAGGTTCTTTGTAAGACATTTAGAACACCAGTTTGTGAGGGTAAACTCCATTCGTGAGAGAAAACACAGAGCGGAGGTAGCCCTGAAGCTGAGGAACAGCTTTGATTTTTGGCAGAATTTGCGAGTCCACAGCTTTCTGGTCAACCTTGCGCTGCTCTGTGATCTCATATTTCTCTTTCTCCGTGTCGAAGATCTCCCCTTCCTGGTGTCTGGGTTTACGCAGCTGCTTCTTCTTAAAGTAAGCATCAGTGAGGTGTTTGGGGATTTTCACACTGCTGATATCAATTTTGGTGGAGGTGGCAATGACAAATTTCTGGTGTGTTCTACGCAGAGGAACTCGGTTGAGGGACAGAGGTCCAGTCACAAGTAGCAAGCCACTGCTCAGCTGCTTCAGAAAAACCACCCTCTTGCCCCTGTGGCGCCCAGTGAGAATGATCAGGATGGTCCCAGGAGTGATGCTGGCTCGCAGTTTCCGCACGTGATGACTAAAAGGTTTTTTGCCGTGGCTCAACAACTTCCGAGGCACATCTTCGGTAGGATAATACCTGGGCATTTTGCGGAGTTTAACCACTCGGGTACCACCATTCTTGTCACCACCGACTGGTTTTGTGACCGTAGCAAGAACCTTCTCCTTCTTTTTCTTTTCAATCCTGGATTTAGCTGCTGAATACTTCCTCTTGTACATGGCTTTTCTCGAATACATAGCCGATCGGGAGTATCTGCCAATTCCTCGGACTAGGACCGGGTTTCGGCTGCAGTGGGGCTTCC